ATCGTACAGAATACAATGTATGACAAAAGGTAGTTAATTCTCTTTTTCATACACGTGTTTTTTATCATGAGCTATGTGGTTACTGTTGTATAGGGTTTTCGCTATAAAAAGCGTTGCACGTCATCAACAGAAGAAAATGGCATGCCAATTTAAATCAAGATTTGGCGGATTTATATTCATTATTATTTAGTTACTTTTTGGGAGAATAAGTTGGCAGATTCGGAATTTTTTTTACAATGTTGTCAAACGTTATTTGTTGACATTTGACACTTTGGTTCGGTTTTTGCCTGTGAAAGTGTGAAAGTTTTCGGTTATTCTTGTGGTTGTTGTTATTATTCATCTTCGCTCTTAGTGCAAAAAAATGTGTTCTTTTCAGAACAAAATTGCTGTTTGTTTGTGTACATTCTACCGTTATTTGCATTTGTACTCGCCACAATGCCGAAATGTTTGAACAGTAAAGCGAAGGAACTCCTTGCGTCTTTAATTCAATATTTTGAACAAGAACGAGATAATGGGGGTCCATTATTACCATTGGGTTCAGTTCGAAAGGTAAGAATGGTTTCAATTACTTCTGACTACTTCTACTAATTGTGATTACCTTCAGCGCGTTGTGGCAGCATTACATTTAAACATTTCTACGGTCAGCAGAATTTACAAAACGAAGCTTTGATATCGCAGATCTCGTATTTCCATCTAACAGTACTGGCGATTACCACGGAGAAATGAATCGTGAAAACTTTTTACATTGGTTTGAAAAACAATTATTAGTAAATTTAGAAGAACCAAGTGTTATTGTATTGGACAATGCTTCTTACCACAACACCTTATTGACACAAAATCCAAACAACTCGTGGAGAAAAGCAGATTTTCAGGATTGGTTACACAATAAACTTAAACTTGTAGAAGGAAGCACTTGCGATTGTAACCTCAGAAATGTGGAAAAATTCAATTAATCACAACGAAAAGATAATAAAGGAATGGTACGAACGCGAAAAACAATTGGATATTGCAGAAATGGCCCCAATCATTATAAACTGGGTGAAAATGATAGTTGAGTGATAACGATTAACCGGACAATAAATAAAACTGCAATTACCTAAGTCACGAGAACTGTGTATTAAAATTTATTTTCTTTTATGTTAACAAAATGGAATGTTACGTAGTCTGAAAAGTATCTTTCGCCTTTTTACGATCATATCAGTTTATGTTGATTATCATTTTATGTAGTTCAATAAAATTTCTTGTGTTTTTGTCTCGGTTGAACTTACTACACTGAAAGAAATTGATGGTAAAATACACCAGAAAAAAGTTAATATAACCCTAAAATATTGATAAAAAAGGGATATCCAAACGTATAGTAAAAATTACCTGTACGTTGTTAGTTAAAGACATACAGTGGATTTAACTTAATATGGTAAAATTTACAATACACAATATGTCTAAAGAGACGATATTATTTAGTTGATAACATTATAAATATCTGGTAAATAATACAAATTAGGGGTGAAGATAACCATAACTGTCTGGTTAAACTTAACTAGACAATAATAGGATGTACTATTCGGTACCAATCTGTGTCTTGTGGATTTTACTTGCTAGTAATGAAGTAGTTAGGCAAGCCATACTATTATGGTTAGGTTAAGTTTGCTATCTGTATAGCAGTTTTAGCCTTCTTGATTGGCTTGAATGCCAAATTAAATAGTTAAATTCAATTTACAAATTAGTAAAAACTACCATAGTATACTGTATATTTTTACCTCCTTTCATGTTCTTTTAACCTACTACTTTAGCTACTGATACTGCAAGAAGATAGGTCAAAAATCACTAATTCATAGACTTGAAACATAAAATGGTTTTATTGCCAAAAAAAATAAAAAAGACTATAAGCATCAATACCTAAATAATATTCACATATTTATAAGACAGCAATAGGTAGGTACAACAGTTTGTTCCCGAAATCGTCATCACACCTTCATTTTCATATTGTCATATTTTCACGAAATTTTCGTTTTCAAGGCAGTAGTGGCAGTAACATTAAGCCTCCTGTCCCGAAAATTGAAATTTTATATAAAAAAAAAGACGATTTCGGGAAACCTGCAATACAAAACTCATCAGTAAAACAACACTACATGTGTGAGTAGGAATGTGTCATTTTTCTGACTTGTGTAAATAACTATTTATTTCATTAAGCGTTGGACCTACTGCAATGCTGAACCGCTACAACGTAAATCCAAAATTCTTGCATTTCTCCCTTCGTCTATTGACAGTTTCCTTAACCAAGTTGTCTGTAGCAACTGATGTAGTAATACATCCTTCCTTGGCCGCCAGTTTAGTGGATCTCCATGTTCCTTTGTTCTTTTCTTGCCGTTGTTGGAAGTTAATACGCCGGCAGGCAAAGAAAGGCGCCAAAGTTTGAATCATCTCCAGAACCTGTAATATATTAATTCTGTGTTACAATAGAAGCATCTACAATATATGTATAGGATGTTCATATAAAATACAATTACTACAAATCAATATGTAGAAAGAACAACTTCTACACATTGGTATAGGTACGGTATGATTTTGTATCATACCTTCAGATAAAAATTACATAATTAGGGGAGGAGATTTTTATTTAAATTTTTATTTAAAGATAATCATCATAGGGTATACCTACTAAAATAAAGTAAACTCACTCGGTTGACTTGACATAACATAAACCAGTTGTCAAATCAAACACATTAGCATTGATCTCTTTCGATAGATTATCGACTACATCGCAATTTAAAATGTTAAACTCGAAAATTTGAAAATTCCATTGCTACTAACCTGTAGGTTCAACTGATTCTTTAATTTGCCTCGCCTCTTCTAGGTTGAGAAATATGGCATGACCACTGGTTTGGTTTACCTAATCAAATTTTTGGCACTATTAGATGGCGTCATCACTGCTAAAGTCTTCATGGTAACATTGTTTTCTATTAAAAAATAAGGTATTAGTATAAATTGTTAATTGTTAAGATTAATAACGTGTAAAAGGTACAATAAAATTGTATCAGTAACAAAACTTTTCCACTAGCATCAGACAAGCAATTTTATACTTTACGTGTAGTGTGGGTATGAACTTAAAAAACAATAGGCAGTTCTTTTATAAAACTTTGATGGCAAAATATATAAATGGTGCATACTTAAAGTAATTAAAAATTAGGCAGCAGAAAAACAACTGCATGATCGAGCTTACTTACCTTTATAAATTTCTTGCTTCTGCCCCATTCTCCATGCTCTAAGTAACCATTCACGTCACTATTATCGCACATACCTACAACTAGGTACCTATTACCACAAGTAAAATCAAAACACTAATTGATAAGGCAATGCCATATCCTTCACGAAAAAGCAAAGAAAGCGAATGAACTTGGTGAGTTTCAGTTGTATGAATGGCATAAGTACTAAGTAGGTAGCTATTTTAAATTTGCTGACAAAGAAGCGTTACTTTCAGCACAACACGTGGTAACGTTAGAACTACCTAACTAACCGTTTAGTTAATGTTATCAAATATTTGGGTAGATTTTACCATAATAAAAGCAAACCAATACTATCATTGTTATTACCAAATATTCAGCCAGCTCTACTTGATGTCAAGTAAAATATTAACCCAACGATTATAGTTCCTTTTGCTGTGCTTATTTATTACATTTAACCTTATACTTAAGTAAATCTAACAAATTGGTCTAGTAAGTGTAACAAGATATATGGCTGAAAGTTACCATATTCAAGTAAAATCTTCTTTTAGTTAATAGTGCCCTTAAACAATGTTAAACTTACTAAAACTCTGGATACATTAACTAGATAGTGTTTAACTAAATCCAAAAAGTTGCTTTAAACAATCATTTAAGTAATTTTACTTAATATTTAAGTGATTACAGCAACACTGTGGTCAAATCAACTAGATGTCATTTAACCCTCATAAGGTAAACTGGATTTTCTTTCAGTGTAGTCTCAAATTCCACTACAGCAAGAGTTGGCCAAATAACGTAAAATCAGTCAAGATTTCAAGCAAGCATTAACTTGATATTTATTTCCTGATGGGCTATGCAATGGTTTATAACTTCCGAAACATTTACATAATGTCGCTATGCCCACATTCCTCATCTTTCTGCTCACAACGGCAGCGATACGTTATAAACAAAATGCTAATAGTACTACAGACTTAAAGTAGACTGCACTTTCCTTGAACCCGTCGCAGCACAGTAGGAATGGGTTTTATTTATGCACAGTAGGTTGGTTTCACACAGAGAGCCCAAAAAATTATCTCTAAATTTTCTAGTTCCTCTGGATGGTAGAAACATAACCTAAAAGTGTTTCCTAAATAAAAGATTAATATATCAGCTTACCTTAGAAATATTTGGCAATGCCGTGTATTGTTGACGTCATCAAATCAATGACGTGCAACGCTTTTTATAGCGAAAACCCTATACTACGTTTGTGCCGTAGTTCTAAGAATAAAAAACATTTATAAGCAGAATGACACTTTTAAATAAAATAATAGTTTGTGTACGACTGCTTGATAATGCGATGATTACAGTCGCAATTAGTGGCCATAATTTGCAATATTATGGCCTACTCCATAATGATAAAGTAAAAGTAAAAGTAAAAATGTGACAGTCGTACTTAGGTGTCAATCCAAGGTAAATTCAAGTATTTTAGAAATACTTGACAAATGCTTGACATCTGTTGTCATTGTCAATGATATAGATTTTATCGTTCCAAATTTTCATTTTTAAGGGTTGTTGCAGTCGTATATAAAGCTTTGTATATATCGCGTCCATAAATAGGCTTTATGGGGACTCGCCTTGTTTATTTGTGCCTCGCTGGCCAGCTCGCTCGGATAAATAAACGGCTCGTCCATAAAGTTTATGTACTTGATATATAAATAGCTATTTTCTTCAAACGTCAAAATATTAGGCCATTGTTCGACTGAGTAGTAGACCCCAAAGTTTGACATTATCGTTAGAGCAGTTTTTACTTTTCCTTTTCCTGTCGCCGGAGGGAAAAGTGTTGTTATGGAAACACAACAATTTCATTTATTTATTCAAAAAATTATGATATATTTTCAGACTTATTCATTAATGTAATATTAAATGTACAATTGGTAAGTGTTGCATTCTGAAAATTGAAGCCGTGCAACGATGAACTAGACCCTGTTAAAGTATTTACTCTCGATTTAGGCGATGACCTCGGCGAAGACGATGTTATTAGATTTCCTGATGCGCCTGTTTCAGTTACCGCAGTTTCGTTTAAATTTAATATTCGGCTAGCATTTTCTTTTTTGTTGCGAATCGACTCTTCTATGTACCCTTCTGCTACGGAAGTCGACCTCCAACCCCCGTGGCGCTTCAACGACTCCATACTTCCTCCACCATCGATGAGTAATGTAGCCGAAGTACGCCTTAAACAGTGACCCGTATATTCTTGGACATTGCCTAATTTTAGAAATTCGGCGACTTTTCTGGGTACAGCACTGATCGTATGAATCCCCATAACATTTTTATAGCACTTCCCATTCTGATATTTCAAAAAAAACCTTCTCTCTTGCATATCTCTCGGTCTTAATGAAGCGTACTTGTGGTAAATATTCATGAACATTTCTCCGATGATGGTAAACGAGCGCACTTTTTTCGTTTTGCTACCGGGAATTTTTATTAGGATTAAATTTTCCATATCTTCAATGTCGCCTATATTCATTTTCATCATTTCGTCGCATCTGCATGCCCCGGTTACTCCGATTAATAAAACAATCTGAATTATAATAATATTACATTGGGAGAATTAAAACTGATTTAAATTCACCTTTATTCCTAAATATACATCATCTGGTGCGTCCATTAGAAAACCTTCAAACTGCTCTTTAGTAAATATTCTGGACTTTTTTGCAGAATACCCTTCATTGGCCTTTAAATATTGACTTATATTTATTCCATGCTTAATAATTAATTCGGATTTGATCATGGAATAACGAGACCACATTGTCGAAGATTTCTATTTTTTATCTTTTTGCATCTGATTAAAATACGCAAGAAGTACATTTTCTGAATAGATGATCACATTCTTTCCATTACACCATTGAATGAAGTGTTGATATGCAGTAAATACTTTTCACCGGATTTCGAAGGTCCGAGGCACGATACTGCTTCATTCGCCTCAACGGTAATTTCGGGCGGCGTGCATTGCATTCTAAAACTAACTAATTTACACTATCTTTTTAGTGATTTAATTAACTTACTTCTTTCTTATCGAGAAATCTTTCTTATTCAAAATTACGAACTGACATGTAATTTTTTCACTCAATAAGATTATTTACTGCGTAACCAAGGAAACAGCACCTATCTATTCATGTAAAGGAAAACAAACTTACCTACTTGACAATGACGTTTAATTTAACGAAAGCGATTAATATCCCTTAAAAACCTGGTGTTTTGGATAAATTTGCGGAAGTTTGAAGAAAAAATAGCATATTTTATTTGGAGGAGAAGTTACTTTTCATGGCTTGCCTTCTATTAGCCGCCTCACTCCGTTCGGCGGCTAAACACAGGCGCGCCATGAAAAGTAATACTTCTCCTCCACATAAAATAATGTACTATTATTGGATTATGCTACCTATACGGGTGTAGAATCGGTTTACGCTTACGCACCATAGGGATATCTCATATCAATGCTAATTTCTTTATATCGAAATATTTCTCCCCTAATTAATTTAGAGCAAAGTTGTAAATGGATTTCTTGTAGTTTGAAAAATTCTACGTCTGCTGGTGTCCTCACTTACCATTTTTCAATTCGGGAAACCGAAACAAATAAATAAATGTAATTTTCTAGTACGCTGCATGGACGAATTTTTGTTTCAATAATTTCACGGCACGAGTGATTTTTACTAAAATTTAGAAATTCCTTAATTTTTCCGATTGTCCACAACAAAAAATTACAAATGGGCACATGAATAGACTCAGAATTTTACAATCTACAAAATATTTATTTACAATTTTGCTGTAAAATAATTAGGGGAGAGAATATTTCAATATAAAGAAATTACCATTGAACTATGCATATGGCGCGGAAATCAATTCTACACCTTGTATGGCACTCCTAAGATTAGATTTTTAGCGCATTTTTGGAAAAAAATACGCTATTATATTCGTTATGACTGGCTGGCTGTCCGACTGAAATGAATCAAGAGTAACAGACGTAACATTATCTGCCGATTTCCAAACGCCAAAGTGGAACAAATCGTCAATAAAATTCTGTGTGTTCAGCAGTTATTTGAAGCATGTCAGTTGACTGAGATCATAGGCGGTCGTGTCATAAATTTTACCCAAAATCATCCTGAAACTTTCATTTTCATGCCTACTTTCTGTCAGGAAATTGTACAAGACAGAATAACCAACGCATTCAGAATCACACACGGAATCTGGAACGTCTTACGAGAGAAGAAAATACCGGACAGCTTGAAAATGATGATTTACAACACGATCATAACCCCGACAATCTTATTCGGAATTAGCACTTCAGCGCTAACAAGGAGCAACAGACGAACATTGAGGAGGGCGGAGTAGGAGGCACTCAGGATACTGAAGAAAACAGCAACCTCACAAGAAAGCAGAGAAGAGAACTACTAGAGGGAAAGACGATTACCAGGAGACTGAAGATGAGGCAGATGAGATACTGGACATACCAACAAGAGGAACAAAGACCATATCATACAGGCTGCCAAGATTCTGTGTGCCTCGGAATGGAAGGTACGCCGACCCTGCCACACATGGAGCACCGCCATAAATCAAACGGTAGAGGTCTCGGGGATTACCATGGGAAGATGGGAAGAGACACACATCAAGGAAGAAAGAAAGCGCAGAAGGTGGAGGAAGAAGCCAAGGGGAGGAGAAACAGGGGACAAAAAGTAACGCAGGGAGAGGACAACAATAAAAAGGGCCTAACACGAGGGAAAATAGGGAAGGGAACGAGACCAAAGGATATGAACATCGGAAGCCAATGAACGCCCGGAGAAGAAGCTATCACTAGAAAGCAGAGTTCCCTCTAAGGCAGAACACCAGTGGCGAAGCTGTGGCCGTACCCGTTCGGGTCGGATAACATCCAGTTAGCCGCCCCTCCCCACAACCCCCCCCCCCCCAATCCACAAAATCCACAACATTGTTTGGCATATGTCACGGCCCAGCGCGAAGGCAACAAAGTAGTAGAGAAACGTCCCTGATAGTATCTACCAGAGACGCATCCTCACGACAGTTGCCTAAATCCTGGGAGAGGCGGCGACGCCAGGTATATGTCAAAGTTTCAAGTTTCATAATAGAGGCAGAGCAGGCTACATTACCTGCCGCTTGGCACTTTACTGGCCGCACTTGTCACTTTACTGGCCGCATTTGTGACATTTCCAAAAATCTATAATGACTCCTGTCATCACTGACATTTTGACATTAATCAAAAGTTCTATATAAAAATTGAAATTTTATATTAAAATACGATTTTGGGTAAAATTTAATACAAAACTCGTCAGTAAAATGACATTACCTGACTCGGGAATTAAAGTACTCGGCTCCAAAGGAGCCTCGCACTTCAATATTTCCTCTCCAGTAAAATATCATTTTCCTGACTTTTATGTAAATAGGTAACTAATACGTACAGCGCTAAACATCAGACGCGCTTGAATAAATACCGTTTTCTACTCTTCACACCATGCAAACCGACAGATTAACATACCATCAATATCAGAGACACGTGGGGCATATATCTAATGCGCTCGAGTATTTTCATGTGACTATTTTTTTGTACATTACCTATTAAAAAAACTGTAGACGCACCTCTCAACGGTGGAGGAATGTACATCATATAACTTTTTTCTTTCTACCATCTAATCTACAAAGTTCAATAGGTCTCTACGACCCATTTAGCATCGTGGGCTCCGCTACTATTACGAGTTCTAAATTACCGTGATAGCAAAACACCTGGGTGTCTGAGATGTATTTACTCTATTTGATTAAACGAACAGAGATAATGGTTCCGAGTTTTCTAATATTTATTTAGGTGGGCCTGCTAAGCGCGCCATAAACTAAAGGGACCACCCTTACACCTACCCGACACGACGTGGCGTGAGAAACCGCCCGCATCAACGAAATCACTGATCTCTCGTCTTTTGGGTCAGGCTTTATTGACTTGGCATGTCATTTTATGTTTCGCGGTTACCAAATCTGGATACACAGGAGTTGGTGAGTGTGAGGCCTCATGTGGCGGGATATACCCACTTCTTTTTCGTTGCAGACCCAGAACTTTTCGGTCTACTACGAGCGAACGCGTAAATGACAGTACTAGGTACCCATGGTCCATTCATGAAGAAGAGACAAAAAACAAATAATTACTCGTCTCACCTAAATTTAATACAATTTACGTTAGCTGTAGATCTAATTCCGCGCGGCTCAATTTTAATTAGAATAAACCGATACAACGAAATATCGAAGGATCCTCAGTATTACAATCACTTTTAACGACAATTTATTTTAATTACAAAATACGTTTTATAGTTAACAAAAATGCATCAAATTCATGTCTTGGTCATTGAGATAATGCTTTTAATCTTGTTCCCAACGATATCAGTGCAAGAAAAACGATTTTGACATGTTTTGATCAAAATCCATGTGGTTGCCAAAAATAGATCAAAATTCATGTTTTGGTCAATGAGATAATGCTCTTGGTCTTTTTCCCAACGATCTTGGTGCATAAATAACGATTTTGACGTATTTTGATCAAAATCCATGTGGACTCCGAAAGATCATTTAACATCTTTGAATCTCACATATGCGGTTATCAAATGTGCACGACGTGATGCACTCTTTCAGCATCAAGATAATGCGTTAGAAAGCTTTTAAAATTCCCAATTCATGTGTAAAAAATAATTTTGGGTGCATTTTGCCCTAAGACTTTCGACCTGTACCACAGAGATGAGTTATATTGAATTATTACACATCTAAAAGCCATAGGGAATAATCTAGCGAAAGTCCGAACTCGATACATGACCTAGGGAATGAAATATGTTAATTTCTATTATATTGAGCCCGCAGTTTTTCCTGTTCCCGATTCACTGGAAGCCCTATAACTTTTGTTCCTGTTGAACCAGCGTACTGAAAATCAATAGCGTCCGTCCTTAAAATCCAAAGTACCCATACACCAAATTTCAACACAGTCGGCCACTTTTAAAAAGAGTTAGAGCGCACACGGACGGACGGACGGACGGACGGACGGACGACAATACAAAACTATAAAGGATCTGAGGATCCTTAATAATTAAGGATGGTCGAGGGCACAGATGCGCAAAAGAATAAAGCGCATCTTACCTTAAATTAAGTCTTTTACCTATTGCGTTCGTTAGTTAGTTCGTTACTAAAACTGCGTGATCAGTGATAGCAGAGATATGATTAATTACGGAAACATGTCAATAAGCGCTACACGAGTTACCTTAAATTTAATGCTGCAATCCTGTGAATCTGTAGCTCCCTTTTATCCCGCCCCTTCTTAGCCCGAATACTAATGGATGTAGTAATTTCGAAAATGTGGGATTCGCAGTTAGCAAATGAATTATATTTTCTTCGTAGTTCACACTTAACAAAAAGTTACAAAAGGAACCTTTCGCATTTATTTTCAATGACAACTGAATTTATGTGAGCACCATGCTGTATCTCAACCTTGTTCACTCGCAATATTTTTCAAACTGATCGTCTTCTTCTATTCCGTTTTATTAATTAAGTAATACGCGTCGCCGTTCATTACTTGACCAAAATAAAATTTACCAAGAATCTTATGGATTCAATAGCGTTCAGAGGTAATATGCCCTACTTTAGGTGATCACCTTTTACATCATACCCGACTTTATATCAACTTTAACCTATGTTGAGATTTCAATAATCGTACC